TGCATATAATTAACTAAATTTTTTATATGTGATTTATAAATCTTATATTGATATATTAAAATATTTTGTAATGGGATAGATACAAATGAAAATTGTGTATATGATCCACTAAAATTTAAAAGTGTACTCATTCGATACCAACAACAATTTTTTCCTAAGTAATAGGGGCTGACTATTTAGTTCGGAACCGGATGTAGAACCGAAAACCAAACTGTATAACCCATACTGGATTTAAAACAATTCAATCTAATCTTTGGTCTTAAAATTAGTAAAAAGCCCGGACCAATCCAGTTTGGGTTAAAACCACATAACCAGATAATTACAAAATAGACATAGAAGACAGGCCAAACCCACTGCCACTCGGCCCAATCCCTCCCTCCCCGGCCCAGGTTAGCTTTCTGGAGGGTTCCTGGTTCCATTTTCACTTTGCAATTTGTTGCATCAGCTGCCAGCCAAGTCAACATGACTCCCTCTCCCTCCCCATTCCATCGCGACGCCGATGCTGCACCAATTTACTTCTCGCAGCCGACGGCGACCCATCTCCTCTCCGAGACTTCGACCACCTCCGCTCCGTGATGCGACCCAACCTCTCTTCGCCAGTCGCCATCCGCGCCGTCGTTGTTCGCTCCCACCTCCTCTCCGCAACGCGACGTCGCGACCCAGCCAGCATCCGTCCCATCCCGTCGCGACCCAGCTAGCCTACACCCTTCACTCCGTCCCGTCGCTCCCACCTCTAATCCGCTCCACGACGCGACCAGCCAGCCAACAACTCAATTCTCGTCGCCCTCCAAGTTAGTGAGTGGGCAATTATAATTTATGATCCATGTCATTTAGTTTATAATGCTATTATGGTGGATGAGGCGGAAAGGCGTGAGCATGTGAGTGGACACGAAGGTACAAGTACGAGCAATATTGGAGGGAGTGATGTGTTTGGCTCGAGGAGTGGAACAAATCAAGGAGGTGGATCGAATGCTTCATTTGTTTCTCTTGAATCTAGTGAGTAGAAATGGTTTGGTGAACTTGTTAGATTGGAGTGAATTTGGTGTTTGATGTCTAAACTTTGGCTGTGAACTTGTGATGCACTTTATTTTTATTTTGAACTTTGAATTGGACTTTGAGTTTGTAATAGACATCAATGATGTTTGTGATTTTGTATTGGACCATGTTTGGTTTGATTTTGCTACAAACAAGTTGTCTACATTTAAGGAAAATGAGTATATGCTGCTGAATTTTCTGCAACATGGTCAAAATGGGTCAAATCGGATTGGGACCGGACCGGGTCAAAACCGGACCGGACCCAATCCAAGCCTTGTTCCCTATATTTCCAAAAAGACTGGACCCAATCCAAGTCTTGTTTTTTGCATCTTTGCGACAACATTTATTATGCACATGGTATCGAATTTGTGCAAACTGCAAACCCGTATGCATTAGCTTTCATCTAGCTGAACGAAATGTATGAGTTATGACTTCCACTAATCTAATTTAAATTTACATTATTAGGATAAACATCTACACCATTGACAAAAGTGACCAATTTCTTACTACGGATTATGACACATAACGATAAATGTCTGGGACGAAAATATTTCTATTTTTTATTTGCCAAAGATATTCCGAGTAGGAATAGCAAGATACGAATATGTATATAACATTTTTAGGTCAAAATTCAAAAGAAAGAAAAACACGTTGGTCAACAATTCGTGAAACCGACGATAAGAGGGCTTGTTTGCCACGATATGGCAGCCCTATTTTACCTACGAGGCGCGAAGTGAAACGTAGCACACTCGATGTTCGCAACACCTGAAACTCCATTAGAATGATACCTCGCGTAGCATGAGCCGAATCGCTAGCGCTGACCATCCTGATGATCACCTGCGCATAACCACAGAAAAGAACATTAGTTATAGAGTGAGCCAGACACTAATTCATAGCATCCGAAGGGCCATTAATATCATAAGAAAAGGGTCAGAAATACTAGAACCGCTCGAAGGCAAAGTTTATGGATCCGTTGGTGTCGAAGCCTACAAAGCCCACCGCCTTGCAATGTCCTTTCAATAATCTCCAACAAATGGTTAATTAACTTAATGAAATATGTCATACATGATCTGTAATAAAAATTAGTACGTTTTTGTGCATGCAAGGTCACGTGTACGTTGATTAAGGGTGCGTTTGGATAGTTGTATTTCAAATATAAGGTATTTGAAATACATATTTTTAAAATGTATGCATTTTAAATACTAGCACTTGAAATACATCTAATTCAAATTCGTTGTTTGGATACTCGTTTGTATTTTAAATTTCTTGATTTTTTATTTGAATTTTGAATTTTTTCTTCACTTACTACAAATTATGGTAAACTACAGTTTGATAATTTTCCTTACAATTTAGTACCTAAAATTTAAAAAATTTATAAAATGGTCCGGAAATTTTGATGGTAAAATTACATTTTGGTACCTTTATATGTTTTGCCTCACATTATAGTACCTAAACTTTTAATATTTTACAAACAGGTCCAATTTTTTTGTTATAAGGTATTTCTAATCACTAGTTGTTGAAATGAATTTGAAGTTGACAAGTAATACAGTAGATATGTATTTGGAAATCACCCCATGAATTTGACACAAATTCAAATACCAAATGTAATTAATATCCAAACACATAATTTGACATTTAGAAATCCAAATCACAAATACCATATTCCAAATCATTCTATCCAAACACACCTAAGATATTTATGCATGCAGCTATGTCAACAGATAAGTGGAATCTAGCGAGAACCATTATTCTCCAGTACTAGCCGAAACGGCGCCTGACTTATTTATGTGGTGATCATCCTCTCTTCTAGTAGTCGTAGACTTTCGATAGAGCTTGCAATTTGCCTGCTACAGGTCGTTTGTTACTCATTCCTCGATCTCCTTCCGTCAAAAATTTGAGCAAGTAGCTAGACTTCTACGCTATCATTCTTGTCTTTTCGTAAACCGCATGGGACCTAACCTTAGAGAACATGGTTCATCTTAGAATTTTGTTATAGAGATAGAGCTTCAATATTTCTGCTTCAGGTCTTTCATTCAGTCTGTCAAAGATAGAGCGCTTACAAACCTTTAGTGACGGGTGAGAGGCCATCTAATTAAGTATTTTTTGTATAAAAAAGATCACCTAAAGGGGTTAGAGTCGGTAGAAATAGAATATTTCGAACCAAATAGTGATTTGTAAGCACTAATGATTTGATTCGTATTAACAAATAGTGATTCGTAGTAGTATTGATTATGCTATGATTCCTTTATAAACCCATCAGTTACTACTATTCTAAAATTCATAAATTAGCACTGATAACCATTAATCATTAAAAGAAAATTATTATGTAGTAAAATTTTCACATACAAATCTCCATTGAAATGAAGAGATATATTTCAAAAATTGATTTATTTATTAAATTATTTTTATGAAATATCACCAGATTAACTTTAAAATAATGGCTGGTGATTAGAATGATTAGCATGATGCTAAACCGCTCATTACTCTCAATTCCAAGTTCTCAGATTAACTTTAAATTAATGAATGATGGTTAAACTGCTTAGTGTAGTGCTAACTCCTATAACTCGTCCCTACCATGTATGGCGGGAAACTAATGAAAATATCATGTGTTAGAATATGAGTTGAATTTGATTTGGGTTTGTTTTGTGTTTTGGGCCTATTCTGTTTGGGTTTTGTTTTGGCCTTTTCCTTGTATGTTTGGAAAAGGTGTTTGGTTTTCTGTTCGGGATTAGGAGAAGAGTTCTATAAATACTCTTCATCACCCTAGTCTATAGTAAGGTCAGTCAGGTTAGTTTGTTTGGTTTGTCAGTTTGGAATTTGGTTTGTAACCTGTACTCTCCTCAAAATCAGTGAAATTTATCTCCGCTGCCCGTGGATTAGCTAGCACACATTGTGTTAGTGAACCACGTTAAATTCGTGTTCGTTTGTGGAACTCTGAATTATCGTTTGCACGCTTCTGTTCTGACAAGTGGTATCAGAGCCTTTGGTTGCTGTTTTGGGAATTTGGCGCTGAACTGAAGCTTGGTTTGGTGGATGAATCGCTTTGGAGTTGACTTTGGGTAGTTGTGTTTTGGTCTCGCTTGTTTGGTGAAGAGTTTGGTTAGAGTTTGTTTGATAGTAAGAATGGCTGCTATCAGTATGAAGATTGAGAAGTTTACCGGAAGGAACAGTTTCAGTTTGTGGCAAATCAAGATGCAAGCATTGTTGAAACAACAGGGTTTGTGGGCTCCATTGTCTGGAAAATCGAAGAAGGGAAGTATAGATGAAGAAGAGTGGATTACTTTAGAGGAGAAAGCTCACTCTACAATCACTACAGGAAAAAGATCATTTAATCACGGTAAATCCCGTGTTTGAAAGTGTGTTTCCCGTGTTTAATAGTTTTAGTCATGGTAAAATTACCATAATATATACCTCCGTGTCTAATTGTAAAGGTCACGGGAAAGTGTTACCGTGACTAGTCATACTATTCACGGTATAATTCCCCATGATAAATGGTACCAATTAATCACAGGGATTCCCGTGACTAATACAAAATATTGGAACACAAAACCAACAAAAAAGCTCATTTAGAGACGAGATGTACACCTTCTTTACACAGTATTTACCGTGATAAATTAATTACCGTGACTAGATATCCACCATTAGTCACGGTTTGCTTGATTCTCCTGTGTCTAAACACTAACCATTGATCACGGTATATTATTATGGCTAATGATAATGATTATATACACGCGTTGAAACAAGTCATATTAAGGAGTCCGACTAATGATAATGATTATATAAATAGCTTTAGTTCATGGTATGATGGTACACAACACAGTTACTTCAAGAGGGAAAAGAAAAAAACAAGAGCACAACTGACTCGGAATGGATGTCGGCTTTACAACAAGATCTGCTCCTTTCTATACGGAAATAAGTTGCACAATGATGGAAAGGGACAAGTACAAGATGCAAGCTAAATTCTCTTGTGATCCATTATGACTAGCGCTTAATCTGCTGGTGGGAGTAGATCTGCTTTTCGATGTTGGTGTCAGCTGGCCTGCAAAAATCAAGTTCACTACATCACTACCCTGTCGAGTTACCATAGCCTAAGCTTCAACCTTTGTTAATGTATGTTTCTTCTTTAGCTATCTTCTACTCCAAACCTTTACTTCCTGTTGGTTTGAAGGAGCTTGAATGTGTCTGGTGTACTTTTAATCTATCTAATTATTCAATAAAATGTTATCACCATTACCAAAAAGGGGAAAAGCTAAATGAAGAAGTTTAGGGTGGACAACATTAAGTGTTCTGGATTCTCTAGGCATAAACTATAAAGGATCAAACTTATGGAGAAAGAAAAGGCAACTCAGCCTGCAGCAGCAGTATGAAAAGCTGGAAAGGGCAGTAGATTACCTGAAGCACCATCCATCTCAAACACAGCTACAAGATACTTACCTCCATCTCACCATGATGAATCTTAACTAAGCTCAGAACCTATATAAAAATGTATACACAACTGATTCATCAAAAGCATCTGTCTTTAATTGAACTCTAGACTTCACAAACTTCTTCAGGTACTTTGCCATCAGCTCTAAATTACCCATGTTACAGATAATGTGAGTGCCACGTTCAAACTCCAAAGGATATAGCAATTATCAATAGTGAAGAGCGCATCAAAGTAAAATCAGAACATCTTTAAAAAAAAATGTAAAATCCAACCAGAATGCCTTAAATACAATACACAGACAGAGTGCACTGTTAATAAGCAACAGCAAGACAAAGTCGCAACAGGTTAATGGACAAACCTGAAAACAATACCTGTGATACTGGGTTGTAATGGATCATTGTTCTTTTCACAAGCCCTATTAATCAACCATTAATTTGGCATCGTTATGAACCTTAGCATATTTCTGCAGAACAGGAGGACAGTTAAACACGAACAACGACGATAAGCACCCCCAAAGAAAAAACGATTAAACAACATATATCCAAGTCAAATTCTAATCCTACCAGTAAATTATTGGCAGAAGCAGCATTGTGACAACTACTTGAGTCTCGCATTTTGAAGATTCAGAGAAAGGAAACATGCATGTTTAAACAAAGAAAAAGAAAAGAGCAGGGGAGTACATATGTGTTAGAAACTTAAAATATGGAGAGACAAAACTGGCCACTACCTTGAAGACGGATCAGCTTCTGCCTGACCCATAATCATTCTAGAGCAAAAACATCACCCAAATGAACAAGCTGCCTAAACTAGAATAAATTCAAACAGTCACTGGTAGGCCTAAGCAGAACTTTTGTGCCACAAAGAAGGGAAAGATAAAAGTCAAAAATTCGATAAGTGTAACAAATTTCAACCATCAAGCATGAAAAAAATTTACCATCCCCATTCACCATTCAATAGTGCCCCAAATATTGAATTCCTAGAAAACTGAAGTCCCCTGTCCTGTTCTATATCTCAGAGACCACTGTAGGAGGGTACATCTTCTTTTACCTACCAACTCTAACAAGGCATGACCACCATAAATTAGCACCAACAGCTAGTGATTTTCCATATCTGGAAATCTTTCATTAGAACCCTTTTCTTTCATTAAAACAAATAGAAGACACCATTTTAATAGATTCTGTTTATTCCTTTCTCTAGCTTGCCATTCAAAACTTACCTGTTTGTGTTCAGCAAATTCGCAATCTGCTGCTGTAGTTTGGCAGCTTCTTGATATAGTATTGCTGAAACCATTTTAGATGCAAGGGTGGGAGAAAAACGAATGAATATCCAATATGTACTGCTGTAATAGAAACAAAGAGACCTATATGAACATGCAAACAAACAAACAAACAAACAAACAAGCAGAATCAATATCTAACCAGGAGTCCAAAACCACGAATTTAAATTTTGGGTAAACCATAACCCTAACAACCAATAAGTTTGGTTCTTGACATACACTAGGGAAAATCAATCTCAATCGATATCATTTTGGAATTTTAGTTTAATGTTTCCCAAGTTTTCTGTATATTGCTTTTGGGCAAATCAATCGGCAGCTAGCTAAACTGTTTGAATCGATAGACTAGGAAAGGCAGGTGAGAAAATACTATAATGAAATGGGTAAAGGAATAAACCTTATAAACCTTTGAATGGGGAAGAGGATAAAGAGACAGCGTAAAATCTCACGGAGATAAGGGTAGAACTCCAGGCGAGTGGATAGAGCTCTGCGACTGAACTGAGATCTCAACTAGCTCTAAAATCACACAACCCCAATTCAAAATTTTATTATAACAGAAGAGAATCTTACATGATGTGTTCTTAAAAGTGCTAAGCATGATATCAAATATATATTAAAACGAATTAAACAGTTGAGTGAGAGAAGTACCTCATCAGAGAATTTGGGTAACTGGGTCGTTGGGGGAACTGCTCGATTCTCCCGAAATCTCCCACTGCGAGCTGCTTAGCTAATTGCTAGCTGTTGAAAAATCTCCACTGCGTGCGTTTGTGGCATGTAGCTCGCAACAAGAATCAATATCACATATTCAATGGAAGAGAACCCTAAATTGATAACACATTAGCCTGGAGATTTGAAGAAGAGGTGAGGAGAAGAGGGAAGTCACTGGACCGAAATACTGCAGCTCAAAGGCTGCGGTCGCGAGCTATGAAGCGATTGAGGGGGGGACGTTGAGGTGTTGGTTCAGATTCGCTATGAAGGGGGTTTGGTTCCATTCCAATACGATGAACAGAGAAGGGAAAAAAGGAGAACGAAGCGAAGAGAACGAAATGGTACAAGTAAGGGGTTTTTCTTATTTTGATCTTTTTATTGTTGTATATATGAAACCGGGAAATGAAAAAGTTGGGCGGGGAAGAGAAAAAGTTGGGCGGAAAGCCAAAACCAAAGTGAATTTTTCCCCCGTGAATGAAATACTAGGCGCCCAATTTCCCTCCTAAATTTTTGGAAAATCTCATATAGATAAGTTGCTAACTATTTAATCAATAAAAGTATAATTTTTACATTATTCATGGTAATTTTACCTTAATAATCTATTAATCACGGGAAATAAAAACTCAAAAATAGATTTGCAAATTCCCGTGACTAGAGTGATACAATTAATTACTGTGATTTTTCCCGTGATTCTTTGTATACTTCTTAGTACGGGAAACAGTCCCGTGATCAGAATCCCGTGACTAGAAATTGATTTTCCTGTAGTGAATCTTGCTTTGTTTGGCTGATGACATCATCACTGAGGTTGCTGCTGAGAAGACTGCTGCGGGTTTGTGGTTGAAGCTTGAAAGTCTATACATGACAAAGTCTTTAACCAACAAGTTGCATATGAAGCAACGTTTGTTCAGTTTGCGTATGGAGGAAGATACATCTCTCAGAAATCATCTGAATCAACTCAATACTATCTTGTTAGATCTGCGGAATATTGATGTTAAAGTAGATGATGAGGATGCTGCTTTAATTCTGTTGGTATCTTTGCCACAGTCATATGAGAATTTTGTGGATTCTTTTATTGCTGGGAAAGATAGTTTGTCTTTGGAAGATGTCAGATCTGCTCTACACACTAGAGAGGTTCGACATAAGGCGTCTGGTTCAGGTTCGGAAAATCAGGCATCTGGGTTGGCTGCTACGAGTAGTAGGAGACAACAATCTGGTAATAGGAAGGCGAATACAAATTCGAATTCTGCTGGTTTGAAGGATGATATCTGTCATTAATGTAAGGAGAAAGGGCATTGGAAATACGATTGTCCTAAACTGAAGAAATATCAGGAGAAGAAGGAATCACCTGCTGCTGTGGCGGAAGAAACTAACTCTGATTTTGAAGATGGTGTAGCCTTAGCAGTGAATGAACAGGTACATCATCAGGATGTGTGGTACTTGGATACTGCAGCTGATTATCATGTGTCCAAGATGGGAGTGTTTTTCAACTTATGAGCAGATCGATGGAGGACATGTTTCTATGGCTAATGGTGCTATCTGTAAGATTGTTGGAAGAGGCTCCGTCAGGATGAGGACACATGATGGTTCTATTCGCACCTTGAAAAATGTTAGACATATTCCAGAGATGACTAAGAATCTGATATCTTTGAGTCTACTCGACGACAAGGGTTTCAGTTTCAAAGGTGAAGGTGGAGTGTTGTCTGTCTACAAGGGTTCTAAGGTGATTTTGAAAGGTGTAAAGCGGGGTGCCTTGTATAATCTTAAGGTTCTGTTTTGACATGTTCTGTTGATAATAAGTGCACCAAGTTGGTTCGGAATGGCAAGTCTCAATATGGATTGGACTTGCCGAATGGTTTGAGTTGTTGACCGCCCTTAGGGGCATTTGGAGGCAGGGGAGATTCAGTTAGACTGATTTGGAGGAGTTAGTACGTCTGGCAATTCTGATTGCATCTGAGTTTGGCGATTTGCATCGCGTTTGGGTTTGGTGATTTCGATCACATCTGGATATCTGGCAATTACGATCGCATATGGGTAAATTTGGCGATATGGATCGTGTCTGGTACATATGGTATTTGAGAGAGAATTCAAGTCAAGGTGGAGATTGTTAGAATATGACTTGAATTTGATATGGGTTTGTTTTGTGTTTTGGGCCTATTCTGTTTGGGTTTGTGTTTGGGCTTTGTTTTGGCCTGTTCCTTGTATGTTTGGAAAAGGTGTTTGGTTTTCTGTTTGGGATTAGGTGAAGAGTTCTATAAATACTCTTCATCACTCTAGTCTATAGTAAGGTCAGTCGGGTTAGTTTGTTTGGTTTGTCAGTTTGGAATTTGGTTTGTAACCTGTACTCTCCTCAAAATCAGTGAAATTTGTCTCCGCTGCCCGTGGATTAGCTAGCACACATTGTGTTAGTGAACCACGTTAAATTCGTGTTCGTTTGTGGAACTCTGAATTATCGTTTGCGCGCTTCTGTTCTGACATCATGGCAAATATTATTGCATCATTGTTACGTTATTTTCGGAGTTCGCTAGATGAAACAATGTCTATTCAGCAATATGACAGGATCACATACATAATCTATATTTATGTATTTTGTTTTTCTTACAAAAGATATAGTTATATACATTATTAAATCTGATCCCTCTATTTAAAGTGGATTCATATATGATATTCAGATTAAAATAATTTTGATTTTTTTTTGGGTGAAATACTTTTGAATTTTTAATGTTTAGTCAATTGTATCTTTTGTTTTAATTGAAGAAACATATTCATTGCACTCTGTTTTTGTGAAAAACAGAGCGCAGGGGGCGCTCTAACCCTTATATATTAATATACTGGGGCATTTGAACCCCAACAAGATCATACATCAGCCAATAACCCAAATGCGAAAGTCAAACAGGTGCACTCCAACAGGTAAAGAATGACCAACAGAGGCCATATAGTCCGCAACATAATTACCCTCCCGGAAAACATGCTCGATACGGACCTCCCAATCCCTCGCCACAAGACTACAGATAAGAGAGATCATAGTGTGATGGGGGTTAGCGGTCTAGTCGGAATGCAAGAGTGAAATAGATGCCGCCGATTCCGTCTGGAGTCGGACTCTTCGAGCTCCCAACTCCCTCACACTCTTCAATCCTTGGGCGATCCCTGCGAGCTCTGCGTGAGTGATCGATCCTCCTCACAGATTAATGGAAACGGCCTTGATAAACCGGTCATTAGAGCCTCGAATAACACCACCAGCAGTCGATATTCCTAGAGCTGGAACCACCCAGCCATCGGTGTTGACAGCAGTCCAGCCCGGAGAGGGGCACTGCCAGTTAACCATGTGCGTGACCTGCTGCCTGTCTCCTCCTACAATTCCTTGGGCTTTGACGAGAGCTGTCGCAGACTGCTCACACATGCGCTTAGCTCGTAAAACTAGAACTTCCATCGGGGATATCATTTCCTCAAAAACCCATTCATTTATGTTCTTCCACAAGCTCCAACATATAATACCAAAGAGGGAAGTGTCAAGAACCTTACCACGGCCACTAAGGTAGTGCAGGAACCAGGTCGTACTATCCGGCTCCAAAAAGTCCGAGTCCGGTTCATCTTGTAGCACCATCGACCAAATTCCTCTTGCATAAGGACAATCACGAACGACGTGAAGGGCCGTTTCGGGACCTCCTCCACAGACTGGGCAATGGTCCGATTGAGTAAGGTGTCGTCGGGATCGTTCCTTGTTCGTGAGTAGTCGACCATGTAAGGCCAACCAAAGGAAAGTATTCGTGCGTTGAGGTCCCGAAACTCTCCAAGCCTTCTTCCATATAGGATGAGCTTGCCCATGAACGTCGCTCTCCTTTGTCTTCAAAGTAAACTTCCCCAACTCTGAAAATTGCCAAAAAGGAGTATCGGGTTCGCTTCCCACCGTGACCGGGTGCAAGCACAACATGGCCACAACCACCTCGAGTAGGAAAGCTCGAATAAAAGGAAGGTTCCATTCACCATTTAGCACCATTTCTGCCACCGTCAAGTCCTGAGCCGTATCCGGGAGTCCATGTGTAGGGAGACCAGCGGAGGACCATCTGTGAGCCTATATTCATTGCACTCTAGAAAAGTATACACATTTTTTTAATATTAGAAAAAATTTCCAGACAACGCGTTATCATCCTTTACCTCATTCGTTTTAATTTGAATTTTAAACACATTTACCTAGAGGAACGACTTTGTTGTGATCGTTGTATAAAATGATATCTATTCTCCATATATTTAGAATTTTTTTAGACTAGTTTTACCACCCTCTACACATGGCAGATGGT